GTGCAGCGCTCAACTGACTGAGCCATCCAGGCACTCCTTTCTCTTCTCTTTTTAATTACATATTTAGTAAGTTCTGCTCTATTTGGAGAGAAGAAATAGAACAGTCTTAAGAACTATTTAAATTCTTTTAAGATGGTATGAAGACTTGTTTTTGGGCAAAACCTTCATTTGATTCTTCCTTTTATCTGATAAAAGCTTTTAGAACGCTTTCATTTTATTAGCTAAGTAGCCTTCAAAAAAAGTGGCAAACATATCAGTAGCTAATCTTATATAGCAGTCTTTTTTATTTTATGGAAATAACAATGAAAGTGTCCTTCAGAAGAAAATAAAAATTATCTTTCACATGTTATATAGAGGTGCAGAGTGATAGCATTGATTTGGTAATTGTTTCTGTCTTGATATTGATTCAGTATATGAATTTATCTTAATTCTTTCTAATGTAGTAGTCAAAATCAGCTTTTATAATGGTATGGATTGAATGTTTAGAGTTTTTATTTGGTTATTTTTTTAAGTAATCTCTACCACTCAACGTGGGGCTCGAACTCATAACCCTGAGATCAAGAGTCAGATGGTCTACGACTGAGCCAGCCAGACAGCCCTAGAGTTTTTAAACATGAAGGTTTGAGAGTAGTATTTTTCAACTTCAATAAATAGGCATCTTTTTTCTTAGAAAATTGTTTAAAATATACTGTTATACCAAAGATTTTATATAATTCCCTCATGCATTTTATATAATAATTATTTATAAAGACAGTGAAAGGAAGACCAGCTATTTCAAAATAGTACTATTCTTTAGGCTTTGAATTTTGATGAATTAATGTGTCTATAAACATGTATAAAGCAGCATCTGAATAAATGTGTCCATTTTACTTCACACTTAAACAAGTTTGTGGTGAAAAAAATTATTAAACCAGAACGTTTTTTGTTATTTCAGGTGATAGAAGTATTCATTAGAGCGGAAGATGGTCTTTGTAGAGAGGTGGTAAAACACCTTAATCAGATTGAAGAACAGATCTTGGATCATTTGGCATGGAAACCAGAGTCTCCACTCTGGGACAGAATTCGAGACAATGAAAACAGGGTTCCGACTTGTGAAGAGGTTTGTGAAAATACCTTTGCATCTTTCTAGAAGAAAAGTATATCAGTATCTAGTCTATTTATATTCCTGTTTCACCGAGAGCAATTAAACTTAATGTCTTTCTTATTTATGGGAAGTGGGAGGGTGGCATTTAGGTTTGATATGGTATAGTCACCCCTGTATCTAAGAAGAAACCCCTAAAGCTATGACTCAGAAATAATTTGTGATTGTGCCAAGGTTTCAGTGACAGAGTAAGAATGCAGTATTCTCTCTTAATTTTCTGTACATTAGAGTGATTGATATTCTAATTCTCTAAATTGGTAATGAAGATGGATTCGTATTTAGTATTGTTATTAGTTTTGAATTTTTTAAGCCTGCCAGAATTTTTGTCCACTTCAGTATGAAAATGAAAAAGACAACTGATTTTATTTAGGTTGAATAACTGATGAGCCAAGTTTTCTTTTGCCTCAGATTGTTACTGTATTCTAATTAAAATGCTTTTTGAATAATGATATCCTGTGCATATAATTCTTTATAGGTTATGCCACCTCAGAACCTGGAAAGAGCAGATGACATTTGTATCACTGGCTCTCCTTTGACTCCCAGAAGGGTGAGTGAAGTTCGTGCTGATACTGGAGGACTTGGAAGAAGTAAGTTTAAAATACTAGGGGGGAGGGGTGCTTGGGTGGCTCAGTTGGTCGGCTCAGGTCATGATCTCACAGCTCTGTGAGTTCGAGCCCCACATTGGACTCTGTGCTGACGACTCGGAGCCTGGAGCCTGCTTCAGATTCTGTGTGTCTCCCTTTCTCTCTGCCCCTAACCCACTTGGCATTCTGTCTCTGTCTCTCTCAAAAATAAATGCTAAAAAAAAATTTAAAAATAAAAATAAAATACTAGGGGGGAGCATTTGGGAGCCTCATATCTGGGAATTGAAATTCTGTAAAACTACAAGTGAAGTTAATAGGGTTTATATAGAAGATAATATTCTGTGCATTATAGTACCACATGGATCACTTAAAAGTTAATGCTCTTGAAGAATATTTAGGAACACAGTAAGATGCATGAAATAACGAATGGCTTTACAAAGAGAATACAGTATATTAATGTGATTACTGTATTTTAAGTGTGTGTTTATATAAGCATACAAAAGGGCTGAAACAGAAAAACCAAACTATTAAGAATGATTATTATTGGATGATAGAATTCCAGGTGCTTTCTGTAAATTTTTTAAGATGAATATGTATTATTTTCAAAATCAGAAGAAACAGCAAAGCTTCTTAAAGATAGAGCTGTATGGTGAATTAGGTGTAGGCAAGCCAGTGAGTTAAAAGTACTGAATGGCCCGAGTGTGTTCAGCTTTGACTCTTGTCAGTTGAGCTGTGCTACACTGGGTAATACGACAGCAGTGCTGGCCCAAGAAGTACAGAAAAGAGAAGTTTTGCTATTCATAAGGTTGTATTTAGGCAGCTTTTTTGGTTTTTAAGTAACTTCTTTGCCCATTGTGAGGCTTGAACTCACAACCCCAAGATCAAGTTTGCATGCTCTACTAACCAAGCCACTCAGGCTGCCCCACCAGGAAGTCCTTTGTAACTTCTTCCAGGTGCAAGCTTTAAGCTTATGTTCAGAGAGTTCTAAATCCTTGGATGCCATTAGAAGGATATTATTGTTTCTAGGTCAACCTTTTAATATAATTGATAAGAAGAAAGATCAGTTTTAAAATTAGACATCATTGGGTGCCTGGGTAGCTCAGTCGGTTAAGCGTCTGACTTTGGCTCAGGTCATGATCTCATGGTTCATGAGTTCAGGCCCCAATAGAGCTCTGCACTGACAGTGAGGAGCCTGCTTGGGATTCTCTCTCTCCCTCTCTCTCTCTGCCCCTCCCACATTTGCTCACATGCTCTCTCTCTCTCTCTCTCTCTCTCAAGATAAATAAACTTTAACAGAAAAATAATAAAGAATAAAATCAGGAATCACTTTATATCAGTACATACTCAATAAATAAGGATGATCTCTATGAAAGTTTCCTCATTTTTTGGAAGAGGAATCATAATGGCTTAACTGTTTTTCTGCTTCCCTGATCTATGGGTTAGGACTTGCCTTTAAACTTCATTTTCTTTATACTTACCACTTCTCCATTTTCGTGACGTTTCTTAATACTTTACAAGATAATGATCATAATGCATTCCTTCCAACTGTACTTTGTTCCAAATACAAATCTGGTAAGTTTGTTCGCTTCTGTGCCATTAGAAATTGAAATGTTAAGCTATGGTCTGTCAGGACTGCTCCTGTCACTCCCCTTATGGCACTCCCTACAATACATTTTTAAATTTAAAAACCCACTGATGTGCAGATTTTATAGCCAGACATGGAAGAGGGTGGGATTGCTGCATAAACATTAAGCCACTAGTGTGAATATTTAACAACAGACTGAGCCATAATAGTTCAAGTTTGTTTCTATTTGGGATGATGAAGCTTCAGAAAGAGACAGTGGTGATGGTTGCACAACATTGTGAATGTAATTAATGCCACTGAATTGTATACTTAAAATGGCAAATTATACATTATATATATTTCTGTTAAAAATGAATTAACATAATATACCAAAAACCATTGAACTGTACAGTTTAAGTGATTAAAATGTATGTGAATTACATCTCATTCAAGTTTTAAAAATAAACTAAGCTTGAGTCCAACTCACATATATCTGTTCTTGCTGAAGAACATTATTGAGTCCTAGTAATTTTCTATATGTGGAAAAACACAAAGATGAAAATTTATAAAACTGGGGGACATGCTCCCAGATGATACCACAGTAATATCAAGTCCATCGTGTCCCCTTATCGAGTAGTGGCTTCACAGTGAAATCACATTGCACTCGAGTGGCAGGTAAACATTGAATATAGTCAAAAGTATCCTAGGAAAATAGAGTAATTCTTTAAACTGCCCCTAAATCATCAAGGCCCTGTAGCAGTGGAGGGCAAAGTTTGGTTTGATGCAGCAGAAGGTGGAATGTAGGAGGGAGCATTGTGGAACAAATAGAGAAGAATTCCTGTGTTTAAATTTTGTTCTTAATAGTGTTCGGTTGAACTTTCCTTAGTTGAACAGAGCTATGATATGACCCCTGTGATGTTTGTTTATGAAGTATTTCAAACACTGATTAGTTTTGAACATAACAGCTTGGATGTATGTCAGATCTCAGTTTCCTTGAGTTAAACTGTTTGATTTTTTTTTTTTGACCCTAGGCATGACATCTCCAGCCACATTATATGACAGATATAGCTCCCCGACAGCCAGCTCCACCAGAAGGCGGTTATTTGTCGAGAATGATAGCCCCTCTGATGGAGGGACACCTGGGCGCATTGCCCCGCAGCCCCTAGTCAATGCTGTCCCTGTGCAGAATGTATCGGGGGAGGCTGTTTCTGTCACTCCAGTTCCTGGGCAGACTTTGGTCACCATGGCAACAGCCACTGTCACAGCCAACAATGGACAAACAGTGACCATTCCTGTACAAGGTGAGGAAGGCAGAGTTGGATGTTGAGTTCTTTGTCGGTGGCCTTTATTGGAAAGTTACCTGAGACTTGGCTGGAATGACCATATAAGATAAGAGTGGAGAGGGGAAGGAGGTTGGGAGGGGAGAAATTGGAAACCCGTGCTTGGAGAACCTTTCATCATCATCATTTTCTTCCTAACAAATTATAGGTATTGCGAATGAAAATGGAGGGATAACATTCTTCCCAGTCCAGGTCAATGTTGGAGGGCAGGCCCAAGCTGTGACTGGCTCCATCCAGCCCCTTAGTGCTCAGGCCCTGACTGGAAGTTTGAGCTCTCCACAGGTGACAGGAACAACTTTGCAAGTCCCTGGTCAGGTGGCCATTCAGCAGATCTCCCCAGGTGGACACCAGCAGAAACAAGGCCCACCTTTAACTGGCAACAGTATTAGGCCCAGGAAGACCAGCTCTTTATCGCTTTTCTTTAGAAAGGTAATTTTTCATGTACCCTTCCCAGGGCAGAGCTTGGTAAATAGAAGTGTTAGGTAAACAAAGTTTGAAATGTTTTTGTTTATCTACCAGGTGTACCACTTGGCAGGTGTCCGCCTTCGGGATCTTTGTGCTAAACTGGATATTTCAGATGAACTGAGGAAAAAAATCTGGACCTGTTTTGAGTTCTCCATAATTCAGTGTCCTGAGCTTATGATGGACAGACATCTGGACCAGTTGTTAATGTGTGCTATTTATGTGATGGCAAAGGTGAGTACCATTTGGAGCATAAGAGGGAAAAGTAAAGAAGCTACTTCCTTACTCTCAGAACACTTTTAACAGTTTTATTGGGATAGAATTCACCTACCATATATTCGCTCATTTAAAATGTACAGCTCAGGGGCGCCTGGGTGGCGCAGTCGGTTAAGCGTCCGACTTCAGCCAGGTCACGATCTCGCGCTCCGTGAGTTCGAGCCCCGCGTCGGGCTCTGGGCTGATGGCTCAGAGCCTGGAGCCTGTTTCCGATTCTGTGTCTTCCTCTCTCTCTGCCCCTCCCCTGTTCATGCTCTGTCTCTCTCTGTCCCCAAAATAAATAAACGTTGAAAAAAAAAATTAAAAAAAAAAAATAAATAAAATGTACAGCTCAGTGGTTTTTAGTATATTTACAGAAATGCGCAACCATCCCTACAAAATATTCTATTGTATGAATATATGATATTTTGTTTATCCATCAATGGCCACCTGGGTGTTTGCACTTTTTGGCTATTTGAATAATGCTGCTGTGAACATTTGTGTACAAGTTTTTGCATGGACACGTTTTTCATTTCTCTTTGGTATATACCTAAGAGTGGATTGCTGGGTACGTACTGTGTTTAACCATTTGAGGAACTGCCAGACTGTTTTTCCAGAGTCACTGCACCATTTTATATTTCCACCTGCAGTATGCGAACGTCCTGATTTCTCTACATTTTTGTCAACACTTTTTGTTATCAGACTTTATTTTTTAAAATAACTTATTGAGGTGAAATTCACATGATGTAAATTAGCCATTTTTAAATGAACAGTTCAGTAGCATTTAGTACTTTCCCAGTATTGTACACTCAACCTTTATCTTGTTCCAAAACATTTCTATCCCTGCAGAATAAAACTGCTTTTTATATTAAGTAGGTTCTCTCTATTCCCCATCCCCCTAGCTCCTGGCACCCACCATTCTACTTTCTGTCTGTGACTATTGTACAATATTTGTCTTTTTGTGACTTCATCTGTGTCATCGCATGAGTTGTAACTTCCTTCCTTTTTAAGGCTGCACAATATCCCATCATATGGACATACCACATTTTGTATATCCACTCATCCATTGATGGCCCCTTGGGTAGCTTCCACTTTTTAGCTGTCACTCCTGTGGACATGAGGGTATGAATATCTCTTCGAGTTTTTGGTTTCATTCTTTTGAGTATATGCCCAAGAGGGGAATTGCTGGGTCATATGGTAATTTTGTGTTTAATTTTTTGAGAAACTTGCCATATTTTACACAACAGCTGTATAATTTTACATTCCCACCAGCAGTGCAGGAGAATTCTAGTTTGTTTACATCCTTACCAACTTATTTTCTATTTTTTATTATAGTCATCCCAGTGAGTATTGATTGATATATTATAGTGGTTTTGATATGCATTTCCCTAATGACTGATGATGTTGAGTGTCTTTTATTGTGCTTTATTGATCGTTATTTGAGTTTTTAATTCTGGCCATCCCAGTCAGTCATTCGCTTACTGGTCATTTGTGTATCTTCTTTGGTGAAATACCAGTTTAAATCCTTTGCCTATCTTTGAATTGGGTTGTTTGCTTTTTTGTGGTTGAGCTGTAGGAGTTCTTTATATATTCTGAATGCAAATGTCTTGTCAGATATTTGCAAATATTTTCACTCATCTGTGTTTTTTTTTTTTCACTTGTGTTATTTATTTATTTATTTATTTATTTTAACGTTTTATTTATTTTTGAGACAGGGAGAGACAGAGCATGAACAGGGGAGGGTCAGAGAGAGGGAGACACAGAATCTGAAACAGGCTCCAGGCTCTGAGCGGTCAGCACAGAGCCCGTCGCGGGGCTCAAACCCACGGACCGCGAGATCATGACCTGAGCCGAAGTCGACCGCTCAACTGGCTGAGCCACCCAGGCGCCCCTTGATAGTGTTATTTAAAGCATAATAGTTTTTAATTTTGATGAAGTCAGTTTATCTATTTTTTCTTTGTTGCTTATACTTTTGGTGTCCTACGAATACATTGCCAAATCCAAAGTCATGAATATTTATCTCTGTTTTCTTCTAAGAGTTTTGTAGTTTTATCTCTTACATTTAAGTCTTTGATCCATTTCTAGTAATTTTTATATGTGGTATGAGGTAGGAGCCCAACTTTATTCTTTTGCATGGGGCTATCCAGTTGTTGTTCCAGTACTACTGTTGAAGAGAACATTCTTTCTCCACTGATAGTCTCAGCACCCTTGTCAAAAAAAAGTCAGATGACTATAGACACATGGGTTTATTTCTGGACTCTTAATTCTATCCTTGATTACTATCTACTGTAGATCTCTCCCCCCGCCCCTCCCCCCTCGATTACTATTACTGTTAATTTGACCTAAGTTTTAAAATCAGGAAATGAGAGTCCTTCCTCTTATTTCTTCTTTTTCAGGTTTAGTTTGGCTAGTCTGAATCCCTTGACATTCTTTATGGATTTTAGAATCAGCTTGTCAATTCTGACTTCTTGTCTCAAAGAAGTCAGCTAGCATTCTGATAGGATTGTGTTGAATCTGTAAATCAATTTGGGGAGTACTGCCATCTTAACAAATTTTCACCGTCCATCTGTGAATATAGGTTATTTTGCCCTTTATTTAGATCATCTTTAATTTCTTTCAACAGTGTTTTACAGTTTTCATAGTAGAACTTTTACACTTTTTTTGTTGACTTTATTCCTGTATGTTCTTTTTGATGCTATTACAAGTGCAGATGTTTAAATTTGATGTGCTCATTGCAAGTATAGAGAAATACAGTTGATTTTTGTGTCCTGCAACCTTGCTGAACTCATTTATGAGTTCTAATTTGGTAGATTCCTTAGGATTTTCTATGTATAAGGTCATGTAATCTGCTTACAGAAAGAATTTTACTTGTCATTCATACTGCATGCCTTTTCTTTTTCTTTCCTAATTGTTCTGGCTAGAACCTCCAGTATAATGTTGAATCGAAGTGTTGAGAGCAGAAATTCTTTTGTTTCTCATCTTAGGAGGAAAGCATCTAGATTACACCATTAAATATGATAGTAGCTGTGATTTTGTTCATGACTGAAAAAACTTTATCAGGTTGAGGAAGTTCTGATATTTTTTTTTTTTAAGTGTTTTTATTGTGAAGCATGTTGGAAATTGTCAGATACTTTTTCTGAATCTATTGAGAAGATTGTGTTTTTTTATTCTACTGGTATTTAGATATCAATATTAGATATAAATATTATAGATATAATTTGGATATATTAAATATTTACTAATACTTAAATGTGTATTATATTTATTTTCGTACATTACCAACCTTGCATTTCAGAGGTAAATACCACTTGGTCATGGTGTATAATTCTTTTTTTATGTTACTAGGTTCACTTTGCTGGTATTTTTGTTTAGGAGTTCTGTCCTATTTATTTAACAAAATATTTTTTAACATTTTTGAGAGACAGAGCGTATGTGGGGGAAGGGCAGAGAGCCAGATAGAGGAAGGCAAGAATCTGAAGCAGGCTCCAGGCTCCATGCTATCAGCACAGAGCCTGACGCAGGGCTCAAACTCACGAACCGTGAGGTCATGACCTGAGCTGAAGTTGAACACTTAACCGACTGAGCCACCAGGAGCCCCAACATTTTTTTTTTTAAGTTTGTTTTGAGAGAGACAGAAACAGCAGGAGTGGGAAAGGGACAGAGAGAGAGGGAGACAGAGAATCTCAAGCAGGCTCTGCACTGTTAGCACGGAGCCCAGTGCAGGGCTCAAACTCATGAAATTGTGAGATCATGACCTGAGCCGAAACCAAGAGTCGGACAGGAAACTTAACTGACTGAGCCACCCAAGTGCCCCTGTCCTATTCATGAGAGATACAATGTTTTTTTGTCATGGTTTTGTTATCAGGGAAATATTAGAGTCATATAATGCATAGGGAAGTTTTCCTTTTCTGTTTTTTTGGAAGAGTCTGTGAAGAATTGATATTAATTCTTCTTGAAATGTTGTATAGACTTCAGCAGTGAAGCCATGGGAGTGGGCCCATATTTTGCTCTGTGGGTGGTTTATTGATGAATAATTCTTGTTATAAGTCTATTCACATCATCTGTTTCTTCTAGAATCAGTTTTTGCAGTATGTGTCTTCTTAGGAATCTGCCTATTTCATTCATGCTGTGTAATTTGTTGGCACACAGTTGTTCATAATATTCCCTTATAGTCCTTTTTATTCTTTGTCACTAGTAACTTGAATCTTCTTTCTGTTTATCTTGGTTTGTCTAGCTAAAAGTTTGTCAATTTTGTTGACTGTGTCAAACAACCAGCTTTTGGTGTCATTTATTGATATATATTCAGATCTTTATTTCCTCCTTTCTGTTTGCTTTAGGCTTAGTTTTTATCTTTTTTCAGTGTCTTAAGATGGTTAGGTTATTGATTTAGTATCTTTATTAATGTAAGCATTAATTAAGCTGTAAGTTTCCCACTAAGCCTCCCTTTAGCTGCATCTCATTAGTTTTGGTATGTTATATCTTCATTTCACTCAGTGTTTTCTAATTTCTCTTTTGGCTTAAGACATTGGTTATCTAGGTGTGTTAATTTATTTCAATCCTTTAAAATTTATCAAGGTTTGAGTTTTTTGTTTGTTTTTTGAGAGCATGAGCAGGGAGGGGCAGAGAGAGAGGGTGACAGAGAAATGTCAAGCAGGCTTCAAGGAGCCTGATTTGGGGCTCGATCTCACAACTGTGAGATCATGACCTGAGCCAAAATCAAGACTTGGAAGCTTAACTGACTGAGCCACCTAGGTGCCCCTACCAAGGTTTGTTTTCTAGCCTAGGATATGATCTGTCCTGATGAATAGTCAGTGTGCCCTTGAGAATGTATATTGTTTGTCCTTGGGTAGAGTGTTCTGTAGATGTCTGTTAGGTCTAGTTGTTATATAGTGTTGTTAAAGTCACATCTGTGTTGATCTTCTATGAGTTGTTCTGTCCACTATTGTAAGTGGGGTATTGAACTCTCCAAATATTATTGAATTATCTGTTTCTCCCTTTACTTCTGTTTTTATTTCATATATCTTGATGCTGTCATTAGGTGCATTAATGTTTACAATTGTTATAGCTTCCTGATGGATTGACCCTTTTATCATTTATGAAATGTTGCTCTATATCTCTAGGAACTTTTACTTTTTGTTCTAAAGTCTGTAGTGTAATATTTGCATAGCCACCCAGCCTTTTGGAAGTTGCTGTTTATATATAATATAGCTCTTCCCATCCTTCTTTCAAATGTATTTGTATTTTTTTAAGTTCATTTATTTTTGAGAGAGAGCAGGGGAGGGGCAGAGAGTGAGGGAGAGAGAGAATCCCAAACAGGCTCTGTGCTATCAGCACAGATCCCAATGCAGGGCCTGATCCCACAAACCATGAGATTATGACTGAGCCGAAATCAAGTCAGATGCTTAACCGACTGAGCCAGCCGGGCGCCTCAGGTATATTTGTACAAGGTATATTTCTTGTACAGAGTATAGTTGGATCTCTTTATTTTATTTATTTTTTAAGTTTATGTATTTATTTTGAGAGAGAGAGACAGAATCCCAAGCATATGGAGCTCAAGTTCACAAACCATGAGATGATGACCTAAGCCAAAGTTGGACACTTAACGGACTGAGCCACCTAAGCGCCCCTAGATATCTTTTATAATCCAGTCTGACAGTGTCTGCTTTTTGATTGTGTTGTTTAATCCAGTCACACTTAGTGTTATTGTTATAACTGTCATTTTACTTTTTATATGTGTCTTTTTGATCCTCTGTTCCTCCTTTACTACTTTCATTGCATTAGATGAATATTTTGTGATATAGCATTTTTTTCAGTAGTGACTTTTTCCATTTTTAAAAATTATTTTCTTAGTGGTTACTTTTAAAACATTTTTTTTAATGTTTATTTATTTTTGAGAGACAGTGTGAGTGGGGGAGGAGCAGAGAGAGAGGGAGACACAGAATCTGAAGCAGGGCTTGAACTCACGAACCGTGAGATCATGACCTTAGCTGAAGTCGGACGCTTACCGACTGAGCCACCCAGGAGCCCCTCTTAGTGGTTACTTCAGGGCTTACCATATACATCTCTTTTCTCTCTCTCCCTCCCTCCTTCTCCCCCTAGTTTTATTGAGATAAGTGTTGTACACCATAGAGTGTACAATGTAATGATTTGATACATGTATATGTAATTGCATTTCAGTTACCATAAAGTTAATATCCATCACCTCACATTTAAGATCAACTGTTACCCATTTTCAAGTATATAAATACAGTATTGTTAACTATAGTCACCATGCTTCATTTTAGATCCCCAGAACTTACTCATCTTATAACTGGAAGCTTGTACTCTTTGACCAGCATCTCCCCAATTTCCCCACTCCTACATACGCATCTTAACTATATCAAAATCAGCTTTAGATTTATACTAACTTAACTCTGGTGAGATACAGAAGTGTTATTTTTTTTTTTTTAATTTTTTTTGAATGTTTAATTTTGAGAGCGAGAGAGAGACAGAGAGACAGAGACAGAGCATGAGCAGGGAAGGGGCAGAGAGAGAGGGAGACACAGAATCCAAAGCAGACTCCAGGCTCCGAGCTGTCAGTACAAAGCCCGACGCGGGGCTCAAACCCACAAACTGTGAGATCATGACCGGAGCTGAAGTCGGACGCCCAACGGACTGAGCTACCCAGGCGCCCCACAGAGGTGTTATTTGTATATAGCTGTTTCCTTTTAATCTTTTGTGATATATTGTGATACATATTACATCCATAAATGTTACAAATCCAACAATTACATTGTCATTTTAGAATTCTATGACTTTTAAGGAACTGAGAGAAGAAAAGAGTATACTTAATTTATAGGTTTTGTTATATTCATCTTATCATTTCTGATTCTGTTTATTCGTTCCTGTGGTTTCAAGTTGTCATCTGGAGTCATTTCCTTAGCCCAGTACAGCTTTCCTCCTCCTCTTGTGCTGGTTTTGGCAGATGTATCACATCTTGGTATGCTTTAGGTCCAATAATACATTAATTATGTATTGCTTTATACAGTGGCTTTTTAAATTAGTGGAGAAATATATATGGATTTTATCCTGTCTTTACAGTCACATAATTATCTTTACCTGTGATTTTTTTTAAATGTGTGTTTGAGTTACTGAAGGCACTTTTTATTTTTGTTTTCCGAGATTTTATTTTTGTATCTTCACCCAATGTGGAACTCAAACTCACAACCTTGAGATCAAGAGCTGTGTGCTATACCAACGAGCCACTAGGCTTCGCATGGGGTCACTTGCTTTTAGTTTAAAAAACTGTTAGTATTTCATGTAAGATAAGTCTGTTAGCAGACCTAACACTGTTGTTTTAGCTGAGATTATTTTTCATTCATTTTTGAAAGATAACTTTGCTGGACATTGAATTCTTAGTTTTTTACTTTAAGCACATTCCACTGTCTCTCAGCTTCCATAGTTTCTGATGAGAAGTTGCCTGTTATTTTATTGGGGTTTCCTAGTAAGCAAGAAGTTGTTTTTTGTCTTGATGCCTTTGAGATTTTCTCCCTTTGGCTTTCAGCATTTTCACCATATGTCTGGGTATGGATCTCTTTGCATTTATCCTACACTTGGAATTCTTAGAACTTGTTGGATATATAGGTTACTGTTTTTTAAATAAATTTGGGAAGGATTGAGCCTTTATTTCTTTTAACCTTTTTTCTGCTTTTCTCCTGTGTATGTTTGCTGAATGTAACAGCTCCCTGAAGCTCTGTTCATTTTTCCTCCTTCCTTTTTCTCTGTTCTTCAGATAGCACAGCCTATCTCAAGTTTGCTAATTCTTTTTTCTTTGCCAGTTTAAATCTGTTTTGTCCCTGTGGTGAATTCTTCGTTTGTTAACTGTACTTTTTTAGTACATGTCTTTGTTCAGATACCACTTACTCCCTGTCTTGGTATTGAATTTTAATAGGTTTTCTTGAATAGTAGTTCTTCATTTTTTATATGCCCTTAGGACCATTTCCAGAGACTTGAAATGGCTGTTTGTTTATATGACTGTCACCACTTTCACTGGGGAGCAGATTCACAGAGCTCTTCAAAATATTTTGCTTGAAGTCAATTTCTCTCTCAGGATACTCTCATTATTTGCCAGGTCACAAAAGAAGACAAGTCCTTCCAGAACATTATGCGTTGTTATAGGACCCAGCCACAAGCCCGGAGCCAGGTAACTATATTTTCTCTCAGGGCTGAAAATAAAGCTTAAAGTGTTTGATAAGTATAAAAAATTAGCCACAGTTGATTCTAAGGCCTTTTTTCCAGAATAAAAACTAAGATTCTACTTTAAGAAAGTCTTTTCTTTAATCTTCTTTAATTATGGACAGACAACTTCCCATCTTGATTACTTTACGCCCTCTTTTCTCCAAACGATGAGGTGAAATATTTGATTTCTTCTTAGTTCGGATAATCACAGGATAGATGTCAGTTGAGGAAGTTGTTTAGCTTCTGTGTCACCTTGTAGGCTGGTTTAGCTCCACTAAAGGTAAAGCTCACTTTACCTTTAATGCTGCTCGTTTATTTCAAAGGATAGGTATGCAGGATCTTTGTATTTGACTTAGAATAACTTGATTTCATGGTTGGGTGATAGCACTGCTCTTTATATTATCCTTTTATAGGCCTGTATTTGGAATTTGAGGCCAAACAGGCCCTAATGTAAGTCCTGGACCTGTTATTTAATAGATCTTTGATCTTAGCTGCATTTATTAACCTCCCTGAGGAGGACAACTATACCAAATGGAGTTGTTGTGAGATTTAAAGAACAGGTCAAGGTCATCTAGGATATGCTCAATGAATCTGTCTCCTTCTTGTGGTCTCTCTAAAGGTGTATAGAAGTGTTTTGATAAAAGGGAAAAGGAAAAGAAGAAATTCTGGCAGCAGTGACAGCAGAAGCCATCAGAATTCTCCAACAGAACTAAACAAAGACAGAAGTAAGTGTTTAAGATCTTTATGAACACTTACAAAGACAAAATTAGGAGCTTCTCACTTTTTAGGCCTAGAGACTGAGGCTTACTAAATGGAATTATGACTAGAGAAACTGAAAATATTGGCAAAAAACTTAATAAACAGAATTCTGAATTTAGTGGCAAAGTTGTTTGTCCTTCATCCCATAGCCTGGAGGCACATTGTGTGTAACATTTTTCTCCAGGGAAATTAGTCAAAGTTTCCAGCAGGAATTTGTTGGCCTGAGTTCCAGAAACATCTGGCATGCTAACTGAAACCATGCTATGGAAATACCACCCTTAATTGTTGATTTGTATTACTGAATGAAGGGCACAGGTCCTAGAAAATTTGGTGTAACTTATTAACGAAAACTACCCCGGAAGCTTTTACTACATTCATGGCAGGGGGTCAAGTTACTACTTAATATTCTGTGCTTTCTCCCTGGGATGAAGAAGAGAGTGCCCATTGGCTGCCATTAAACAAGTACAGAGGGTAGCTATTCGCCTTTATCTTCCTGAATTTTCTTTTTAAAAACAAGCTGCATGAGCAGTGTCTATCATCCTGTGTTCTACCTGCTGCAGCCAGCAGAGACTCCAGTCCCGTCATGCGGTCCAGCAGCACCTTGCCCGTTCCACAGCCCAGCAGCGCTCCTCCTACACCTACTCGCCTCACAGGTGCCAACAGTGACATGGAAGAGGAGGAGAGGGGAGACCTCATTCATTTCTACAACAATATCTACATAAAGCAAATTAAAACATTTGCCATGAAGTACTCACAAGCAAACGTAGTAAGTGTGACGGATTATTTCATACTTTCTTCACCTGTGAGGGAGGAGGAATCATATAGGTTGAGCTGCTCTGTATGTAAACTGGTCTTACAAATCATTCATTTCTTAAATAAAGCTGAGGAAATCTCTAACAGAAATCATATGCCAAACCAACAGAATTTCTTTTATTGTGAAGCATTAAACAAGAATTAGATGGTATTTGGATTCCCTACAAAGTAATGTAATACAAGAGAGAAACTGCATGCATTCATATTGTCCAAAACCGATCAGCTCTGGTGCCCTTCCAAGTTACTTAGCTTTCTTGTTTTAAAAAAATGTTTGATGTTTATTTTTGAGAGGCAGAGTGCAAGAGGGGGAAGAGCAGAGAGAAAGGGAGACACAGAATCCAAAGCAGGCTCCAGGCTCTGAGCTGTCAGCACAGAGCCTGACGTGGGGCTTGAACTCAGGGACCAAGAGAACATGACCTGAGCTGAAGTCCCATGCTCAACTGACAGAGCCACCCAGGTGCCCAACCTACTTAGCTTTCTCCCTGCCTTTTGTTTCCTCATATATAAAATGGCAATAGGAGTAATCCCTAGTTTATAGGGTTGCTCTGGGGATTAAATGCTATAATGTATTAAAAATGCTTAAAACAGTGACTGGCACAAAGCCAGCACTTACATGTTATTTGGGTGGTTTTATTTAGGTGTAATTGTTGCTGCTAATAATTACCGTTTGCCATTCATAAAGCTACTGGCTTATTATATCTCTCTACTCTTTCAGTAAAAATAACCATTTTTAGGGGCACCTCAGTGGCTCAGTTGGTTAAGCGTCCAACTTCAGTTCAGGTCATGATCTCTCATTTCGTGAGTTTCAAGCCGGCGTTGGGCTCTGTGCTGAAAGCTCAGAGCCTGCTTCAGATTCTGTCTCCCCCTCCCCCTTCTAACCCTCCCTTGCTTGCTCTCTCTCAAAAAAAAAAAAAAAAAAAAATTAAAAAAATTGTTTTAAATAAAATGTTTTAAATAAAAAATGTTTTAAGTTTTTCATAAAAAATACCTGATTAGAAATTTCATTACCTTTCTTAGGAATGCTGACTTTTTCTCCCCCAAACAGATGGATGCTCCTCCTCTCTCTCCATATCCATTTGTCAGGACAGGCTCTCCTCGCCGAATACAGCTATCTCAAAATCATCCTATCTACATTTCACCACATAAAAATGAAACGATGCTTTCTCCTCGAGAAAAGATTTTCTATTACTTCAGCAACAGTCCTTCAAAGGTGAGCCTAACATAAATCTTGGCCTTTACTAACCCAGAATGCCTAGGATGCTAGAACTGGGGTTGATGGAAAACACTCAGCACTCCCATGAGTGATGGGAGCTACCAGGGAAAAGTCGGTCCCAGCAAAGCAGAAATCAGGGGTTTGAGGGACACGTTAAGGCTGGAAATAGAGTAAAGGATTTAGATTTATCTTCATTCCTTCCTTTTCCTGTTTGTGTATTTACAGTTCACTCTGCTGTAGATCTGGAGTTGGGGATTTTTACTCCATTTAAAATTCCAAATTTTTGTTAAGAAAACTTGAATTTCTAAACTGATTATTGAATATCTATTTCTGGGACAGGTAGCATCTCTGTCTAAGGGGAGCAGTGGACGTTTTGTACAGTGTGGTGTGCTAGTCCTGTTAGTGCCGATTTGTGCGGCCGCATCTGCCTCTGTCTGCGATGGGGAGAGAAGCTTGCATCAGACCTTGATGGAAGAAAAGTTAGCAAGGTGCTGACGTGTGGAAGGAAGGGGGTATCCAGGAAGCAGGAGAACAGGGAAAGAACACAGTGTCCTTGAGGCACCGGGAATCACGTGTACTGGGTTTAGGAGGACAGTTCATTCCTAAAGGCCCGGATGCAATACTCTTATTCATAAAGATTGCTTAGAAAGAAACACACACAAAAAAGGGCCTCGACTCTTCAAAAAAACATGTCAGTATAATGAAGAGAGAGAGTAGATGGGGGAGGGTAGTGTTCTAGAGTGAAGAGGATTAAAGAGACGGGACACTCAATTTTAGTATATGTGCTGCCGAAGCGAGCACGAGACAGGACACTCAAATGCAGTACATGATGTTTGGATTCTGCACAGAAAAGCACAGTAAAAAGGACATTTTGGGGACAAGTGGGAAAACTTAATGGGGGAGTTGAATGTTAAATTTCTGTTAAATTCCTTTGGTATTGACGATAGTACTGGATTATGTAGGAGAATATGTTTAAAGTAGGCACAGGTGAACTGCCTCGGTGTGAGCAACTTATTTTCAGATAGTTCAACTAAAAAAAAATTATACAGAGAGAACAAATGTGGTAAAGTGTTAATGATTGATGATAGGGTATTCAATGTATTATTCTTCCAACTTTTCTTTTAAAATAAAAAGTTGGAGGGGGGCGTGTGGGTGGTTCTGGTCATGATCTCACAGTTCATGGGTTTGAGCCCCATGTTGGGTTCTGTACTGGCAGCATGGAGCCTGCTTGGGATTCTGTCTCCCTCTCTCTCTGCCTTTCCCCCACTCACATTCCCTCTCTCTCTCTTCCTCAAAAATAAATTAAACAAACATTAAAAAAATAAAAAGTTAGAGAAAACAAGAAAGATAGCAGCAAAAATCTTAGAAAATGAAAAAACTTTTACTACAGTATTAACATACCTTGGAATAATCTTATCCCTTGTAGAAAAATCAGTTAACTTTGAATAACAAAGACACACTAATGTGTTAGTAGACCAAATATTTAAAAGGTAAAGTTTCCTCCAGCCATTGTATAAGTTTGATCTAATTCCAGTGATAGTGCCAGTGGGATTGTGAATGCTGGAAACATAAATCCGCAAAGCCCTAAAAGCAGTTGAAGGGATACACAGCTCAGAGATACTGTGGGTTCAGTTCCAGACCACTACAGTAAAGCCAGTCAGATGAATTTTTTGGTTTCCCAGTGCATATACAAGTTATGTTTATACCACAGTCTATTAAGTGTGCAATAGCATTATATCTTAAAAAAAAATGTTCATACCTTAATTTAAAGATGCTAACCAAAGATTCATTTATCTGAGCAGTGAGTCATAATCACTGATCAAAGATCACCATAATAATGAAAAAGTTTTACTAAAACTTTTAGAGATTTACTAAAATTTGGTAGAGACACAAAGTGAGCAAATTCTGTTGGAAAATGGCACTGATACACTTGCTCAACTCAGGGTTGCCACAAAAGACACATTACCTGCAAAGCACAATAAAGCAAAGTATGCCTGTGTTAGATTTTCACCCTCTAACCAAATAAATTCCATTTAGATTAGAATTAACTGAAACAAAATGAGTAGAAGTCAGAATACCCAATTCAAAAGGCCAAAATAACAAACAAATAGCAATTAAATGTAAATAGTCTAGGGGCACCTGGGTGGCTTGGTTGTTAAGCGGTCCACTTCAGCTCAGGTCGCGTCTCTCGATTTAGCAGTTCAGAAAGCCCCGATGGGGCTCTGTGCCTGTATCAGAGCCACAGACCTGCCCCAATTCTGTGTCTCCCTCTCTCTCTTTTCCTGTTCCCAGCTTGCGCTCTGTCTCTCTCCGCCTCTCTCAAAAATAAACATTAAACAAATTTTTTTTTAATGTAAATGGTCTAAATACACCAATTAAAAGGCAAAAATTTTAAGACTGGACAAAACAAGACCCAGCTATTTACTGCTTATAAGTAACCCATTTTAAATATAAAGTCACAAACAGTTTAAAGTAAAAGGATGATAACTGAGATATCCAATTAAGTGACGAATAAAAAAAATGCACGTCCATACCGTGGAATATTACTCCAATAAAAAGGAAGTACCACACAGGCTACAACAGGGATAGACCTTGAGAACATTATGGCAAGTGAAAGCAGACACAGGATAAGTAAATACTATACGATACCATTTCTATGAAATGTCCAGAATGGGCAAATTTATAGAAGCACAGAGTGGATTAGTGATTGCCTAGCTTTGGGAGGGATGGAGGGCTTCTGTCACTGGGCACACGTGGAAATGACCGCACAATGAACTGCACGATGAAATGTGATAATGACTGCACAACTCTAGGAGCACAGGGAAAGCCATAGATCTGTGTACCTCGAGGGGTTGAACTGTATGGTATGGAAACTATGTCCCAATGAAGTGGTTTTTAAAAAAAGTAAAAGGATAGAAAAAGTTATCTGTACTCTACTGACACTAATTAATGCAGCCACGCCAGCTTTCATGTCATTATCAGCAATAAAGTCATTTCCCAGCACAGGACATAAAATCCTTAAATAGAAAAAAAAGATTTTGCGATGATTGACAGAACAAGTAGACAGAAGTGAACAACCAGACTGGCTGACATTTCTAGAACACTCTAATAGCATCAAGTGCACATGGAACATTTACCAAGAGAGACCACATTCAGGACCATAAAACAAGTCTCAGTAAATTTTAAAGGATTCAAATAATGTATTTACTCTTACCACAACAGAATTAAATCAGAAATCAGTAACAGAGATACCTGGAAAAACCCCAAATATTTGCAACTAAATTGCATATTTCTATGAGTCACAGAAGAAATTTTAAAAATTACAAAGTATTTTGAAAATGAAAACTTGACTTACCAAAATTTGTGGGATGCAGCAGCAAAAGCAGTATTAAGAGAGGGAAATTTATAGGACTAAAATACTCATATTAGAAAAGAAGAAAGGTCTCAAATTAGTGACCTGTGATTTCACCCCACGCAACTAAAAGCAGGAATCAATGAAATAGATGACTTTGTATATTTTAAGACCACTAAAAACTAGGGTTTTTTTGAGAAGATTAAAAAAATTGATCCGTCTGTGCTAATGAGGATAAAAGAAATGATGGATTACTAATATCAGAAATGAGAGCTATCAGTACAGTTCTTACAGATATTGAGAATATAATGAAGGTTAAAAAATAACTTTTTGCCGATAAATGCATGATGCAGATGAAATAGACCAATTCTTTGAAAGACATAAACTTCCAGAGCACAGTCAACAAGTAGTCTCAATGGCCCTCTATTAAACTGAATTTGTAACATAAAAACTTCTTCTCAAAGGAAACTATAGACCCAGATGGCTTCAGTGGTAAATTCTACCAAATAAATATTTAAGGAAGAAATACAGTTGACCTTTGAACAACATGGGGGGTTAGGACATCCTATCCCTGTGGAGTGGAACATCTGTGTATAACTTTTGACTCGCCCAAAATGTACCTACTAATAGCCTACTGTTGACGGGAATTACCAACAACATAAAAACAGCTGATTTACACAGATTTTGTATATATACTACATACTGTATTATAATAAACTAGAGAAAATATTAAAATCATAAGGAAAAGAAAATGTACTTTATTGAAAAAAAGCCATGTGTACGTGGACCCATTTCAAACCCATGTTCAGAAGTCAGTTGTACTGCCAGTTCTATACAAACTCTTCTAAAAAGTGAAGATGATAAATCATCTCAGTAGTTGAAGAAAAAACATTTGACAAAATACAACATTCATTCATGATAAAACCTCTCAGGGAACTTAACTGGATAAAGAATACATACTAAAAAATCTCTAGCTACCAATACACTTAGAAGGCATTCAGTCTTCCACTATTTTTTTTAAATTACTTTTTATTTATTTATTTATTTATTTTGAAAGAATGTGGAAGGGGCAGAGAGGGATAGAGAATCCCAAGCAGGCTCTGCACTGTCAGCACGGAGCCTGATGTGGGGCTCAATCCAATGAACCTTGAGATGATGACCTGAGCCGAAACCAAGAGTCAGTTGCTTAACCAACTGAGCCACCCAGGCACCCCAGTTGTCCACTATTAAGATCAGGGACAAGGATATCTACTTTCACTATTCCTATTCAACATTATAACCATATGCAAGGTCATATATGATAAGGCAAGATAAATAAGGCATACAGACTGAAAAGAAAGAAATAAAGCTGTCTTCCATATACAACGTGATTTTCTTCATAGAAAAATCACAAAATTTAAAAAACGTTAGTGGAATTAGTAAGATTAACAAGGTTCTAGGGCTAATATACAAAAATCAAATTTACTTCTGTATACTAGCAACAAGTGAGAAGTAGAAATTTTCTAAAGCACTGTAACATTAAAAACTGCTTTGGGTAAGTCTTGACAAAAGATGTACAAGATTCATATCCTGAAAACTACAGAACAGTGGCTAAAGAAAGATGGAGAAAATGGAGAAATATCATGTTTATGAATTGGATGACATTTTCAAGATGTCTGTTTTCTTTCACTTGATCTATAAATTCAACCCAATTCCTGTCAAAATCCCAGAATTATTTGTGTAAGGTAGCAAACTGGTTCCAAAATGTATATGAAAATGCAACTAAAATAATTAAAACAATTCTGAAAAATTTGGAAGACTTACATTCTCTGATTTCAAGACTTAACTATAAAGCTGTGGTTACCAAGACAATGTGGTATTGGTAAAAGGAGAGACATACAGAGCGACAGAACAGAATAAAACCCAGAAATAGACCATACGTACATGGTGAGTGGATTGTCAACAAGGTGCAAAAGTAATTTAGCGGAGAAAGAACAGCCTTTTCAGCAGATGGTGCTAAACAACTGGGTAACCACATACAATAATAGTAAACCTACATCCATACTGTGCATCCGGATCCAAAAATGAATCAAAATGGACCACAGACCTAAATGTAAAACTTATGAAACTCCTAGGAGAAACCATAGGAGAACAAAATCTTTGTGAACATGGTATAAACAAAGATTTCTTAGATAACAGCATCAAAAGCACAATCCATAAACGACTGATAAATTGGACTACATCAAAATTAAAAATATCTGCTCTTTTAAAAGATAGAAAAAAGCCACAAGCTGGGAGAAAATTTTACATACCTCTTATCTGTATCTACAAAACATAAAGGATTTTCAAAATTCAAAAGGAAACCAACCAAATTTAAAACTAGGCAAGACTTGAACATGCTTTATCCATTAGCCCAAATCTAAAAAATAACATGAATTCTGGCAATGATGTGGAACAACTGAAACTTTTATGTATTGCTGGTGAGAGTGTGAAACGATACAGCATAGCTGTTAACACCTAGAAAATAGTTTGGCATTTTCTTATAAACATCCCCTTACCATATAACCAGTAATTTCACTTTTGGGTGTTTACCTAAGGCTCATACAAAAACATGTACCTGAATGTTTAGGACTATTCCTAATTGCCCCAAAGTGGAAAACAACCCCCATGTCCTCCAGCTGGCTAATGGATAAACAAACCTGTGGTACACCCAATAAGGGGCAACTCCTTTGCCTGCCATAAAGGGGAATAAACTGATAAACTCAGCAGTATAAATGAACCTTGGATGCATTAGTGCTTAAGTGAAAAGTCCTAGATTCAGTAGGCCACTTACTATAGGGTTTCACTTCTGTGACATTCTGGAAAAGGCAAAACTATAGGGACAGGGAACATCATCAGTGTTTGTGTGGGGGTAGTAGCTTAACTAGCAGTGTGGGAACTTTTTGGAACAAAGAAACTTACTGTAGTTACATACGTTTGTCAAAACATGCAGAAGTGTACGCTTAAGGATGAATTTTACTATATGTAAAGCTTTAAAAAATGACATTTTGTGAAAAAAAATGTTAAGCACTTAGATCAGTGACTGTCCTATCACCACCTGGGAAGCTTTAAAAAAAAAATTTTAGCACTGAATTAGGAGTTTCTCCATTAAATAGCAAAATTAGTCTTGGTTAAAGAAACATTTGTCATGATGACTTGATAGACAAGAGCTGAGATCAGAAGTACCTTGAGTCGGGGTGCCTGGGTGGCTCAGTTAAGCATCAGACTTCGGCTCAGGTCACCATCTCATGGTGTGAGTTTGAGCCACACATTGGGCTCCGTGCTGATGGTGTGGAGCTTTGCTTGGGATTCATTATTCTCTCTCCACCCTCCCCCCCCCCCCCCCCCCCGCCAAAATAAACTAAAAAAAGAAAAAAGTACCTTGAGTCTAGAACCAACCTGTACTATCCTAACGTTTACACGACCATGAGAAAAGAATTCTAGAATACCACACAAAATTAGAATGATTAGGAATCAGTGACACCTGTCAGGGCAGTTTCAGTGGATTGGTACAGCCTGTTGAATATTATTACGTTGCTTACATTTTTAAACAGTTGGGAGAAAATAATACATCAATAGGGAATTAAACTAGGATACAGACATACTGTAAAATACTGTATAGCAGTTAAAGAGATGTGATGCATATATACTGATATGGGAAGATCAAAGACAAAATGTTGACTGAATATTCCAAACAGCACATAAGATATACCATTTCATTTTTTTTCCCAAAAAAACCACGTAATTATATTTGTATTGAGAGCATTCCTAAAGAGCTGAAGGCTATACAGTTCCCTGATTTGTTCAGTGAAAGATAATAGTAGTTATCCTGGGGATTGGGTGAGGACAAGAAATCTAGGCATATGCTGTATGAATTTTTTGTAATCAGTATTTGTGTTTTAAATATGTACATATTGTATAAAATTGTGATTGTGAGATACTGGGTATCATATATAAATTATATGTAATATATTTAACACTAGTATATAATATAAATGTATGGTATATATTGTCTTATGTGTATTAAGTTATACAGTTGTACACTGTGTAATATATATCCTATAATGTATTCATTATATACAAATAACATTTATACAATTAACAATTTAAGGAATATTCAAGGAAACGGTAGACTAGAGATTAGGAACATAAGAGGGTAGAAGTCAAAAGAAAGCTTTCTTAAGATGGATAAGATTTGAGAAGGTGAGAAGGTGCACACACTAATAAAGAACATGTGATTTAAAGCGTCAGAAAAATTTGTTCAAAATAAAATATTATGAATAAAATATGTCTAGGATTAGCTTTAAAACAGTGTGGGGACTGGGAAATGAATGAGGGTATGTAGATCAAGTCAGACTGGCCAGAACTGGTCAAGTGGGTTGATGGCCATGGGAGGATTTCATTACACTCTTCTCCCTACTTTCCTGTTTGAGGTTTCCTGTAACAAACACAGGTGAATAACCAGAGTATATTTTCCATAAGGAAACATGGACAATGAAGTAACACGTGAAAAAGAATCTGTAACCAACAAACTACCAGAAAATGACGTGGTAACTGACTTTTGGGCCTTTGGAGAAACAATGCTGAAGGCACTCTATGTCGGTCCAGTCTCTCTGGCATCCTGGTAGGTCCTCTCAATCAGGGTTCCTCATGATCACCACATAGCACAGAAAATAATTTGCCTAACTTTTCTCTATTCTCCCAGGGATGGGAGTACCTTCTAGATCATACTAATAAATTACCTACAATGGATGCCTGAGGGAAGTAAGGCTTACTTGTCCTGTGAAATTCCAGTTGAGAACAGCTGCTAAATGCATAACACTGGACTGAAAAAAGGCATAATACAGTGTAAAATTACACTTTTTTTTAAAAAAGGACAATGGAGAGGGGCGCCTGAGTGGCTCAGTCAAGCGACCGACTTCAGCTCAGGTCATGATCTCGCGGTTTGTGAGTTCGAGCCCCGCATCAGGCTCTGTGCTGACAGCTCAGAGCCTGGAGCCTGCTTCCAATTCTGTGTCTCCCTCTCTCTCTGCCCCTCGCCCGTTCATGCTCTGTCTCTCTGTCCCAAAAATAAATAAACGTTGAAAAAAAATTAAAAAAAAAAAGCCTTAGAACAATGGAGATGTAGGGAGTTGACTAAATATGGCATAGCAAGGTGGTGCTCCCTATTAAAAAAAAAAAAAAAAAAACCCACAAATTTGCAATCTCTTACTTTTGGAAAAGTGTACATCAGAATCACCCCTGGAGCTTGTCCACAATAGAAACACTGTGCCCTCCAACCCAGGTAGTCAGGAGAGTCAGCCAGCTGAGGGGTGAAATCGGAAGGATATACGGCTTAGTTCTTTTCTTTATAAAGAGGTTCATCCTCTTGAAGGTAAGCTCTTCATTCGAAGGTTCTTGGACTGAACACCGAACTATGTTTATTAGCATTTTAAAGTTTTGTTATCTATTTTTCCCCACTCTAGAGACTGAGAGAAATTAACAGTATGATACGGACAGGAGAAACTCCAACCAAAAAGAGAGGGATACTTTTGGAAGATGGAAGTGAATCACCCGCAAAAAGAATTTGCCCAGAAAATCACTCTGCCTTATTACGCCGTCTCCAAGATGTAGCTAACGACCGAGGTTCTCACTGAGGTTAGTCTGTTGTATGGAAATTATCTTTTCACAAACCCTGTCCAGCAGCACCATTTAATGCATGCTCGAGTATGGGGCTCTTTTCCTAATCTTCCAGTATCCTCTTTGGATATTTCTACTCATCCCAGCTGCCTTTTTCCTACCACTCAGTGCTTGCCATCAAGACTGCTTAGGATCCAAATGTGGATTTTTTTTTTTTTTTTTTTTAACTCTTCGGCAAAGCTTTTACAAGAGCTGCAGAGAACAGAGCGTGCTCACCTCTGTGTAAGAGGTGTCTGTGGATGTGCTCCAGCAGAGGGACTGTATTTCGGTTCATTCCCACCTAATTCATGGTCAGCTTCTGGCCCTCACGAAAAGCAAAACAAAAACTTAGGTGTTTGTCCCAAAACGCCTGGTAGGAGTGGGAGGTTTTGGCATTCCTGCAACAGAGGGCAAGAGCCCCGATCTGGAGGCCCTAGATTCTTACCCCAGTCTCCTGTTCCCATGGTGTAACTGTTCCCTCTCCCCTTTAGGTGTGGTGGTGTGGGAAGTGCTGGGTTGTTTGGTGTGCAATGTGTGAGTGAACTTGTATAAGAAGTGGCACTTTAGGGCTGTAAAAAGCATGGTTTTGTAACCCAGATTTTGCTGTATATTTGCGATGGCACTTTCTATAATGTGAACTTTATTAAGTACAAAACTTCCAGGCTAAACATGCAATATCATCTTTGATGCTTTTGTACTTTTTTTAAACTGTTAAAGCCCCAGTAGCTGCCTTTGGGCATGTGTTTTTAACTCTCCAGTGTTTTGTTGTTAATAGGGATCAGTTGGCTAAGTAAAGATTTTAAATCAAGTTGAATTTTAAATCAAGGGAATATGAAAAATTCTGACCTCTTCTTTAAGAGGTAGTTATCCTGAAAGACACGTGTCTATTAAGGTGATAAACTTAAAAGATCTTTGGGTGTGTTCCTGGCAGTTTAAAAAATAGGTTGGAGAATTTAGGTTTTTATTAGTACATAGTACCATTTATAAAAATTAGAAATGTTATTTAACAGCTGTTGAATTATCTCTATATACCTTTATTAATCACTATCGTTCCAGCAGTTTTAAAGTTGAATGAATAATCTTATTAGGGAGAAAATTCAATTGTAAATTGAATCAGTATAAACCAAGTTACTGGGTAACTTCATATTGCTCTGAAAGAAATATGGAACTTACACTGTTCAGTTAGAATAGTGGTCTGCAAAAATATTTATAAAACCTCTTCAAGATACTTACTGCTACTGTAATTTTATATGAAAATAAGTGTATTTTTCAATAAAGCATTTATAAATTAATCTTTGTTTAGTTATATTGAGAAAGGGGTAGCTAGTTTCCTGCATAAATGACAAAGAGCAATCATTTATTGGTTTATTTTGTCTCTACAAAACACATTAGTCATTCATCATTTAAATATCTGACTTCATTAGAAACCGTTTTAACACTTTCTCTCCCTCCTGCCATAAAAATACAGTAAGTAATTTGCTTAAAAAAAAACAAAAAACAAATAAACCACTATGAACAAGTGTTCTGGTTTCCTCTCCCTCACCTAACATGTACCTCAGTGATGACAGGGGCTGGTAAATCAGGGAGACAGTAGGCTGAAGACTGAGGTTCAGATGATCTTCCACTTACAAGTGCTAATAAGCTACGGAACCTGCTCTCTCTCTACCTCTTTCCCGCGTCCTAACATATGTACAACTGAAACCATGGGGGTAAAGCCACTGGATAGCACGCCCAACTGTCTACTCTATTAGTGTAAATGAATGTAACTTACCTTTAGCATTATATTCAGAAAAATACTTAAGCCTCGAGGTCCCCAATAATTTGGAGTACTGAACTAGTTAACCACCCTAAAGACACTTCTGACAGAAGTAATGCATTACTTAAAGAGAGGTTTCCAAAACTTGCTGTTAGAACCTAAGCATCCATGGACACAGACAGCAGTCCTTGTTCGCACAGTTTTACTCTTCTGGCGGCCCTCTGCCACCGGTCAGCTCTCACCAGGCCCGCATCCGGCAGGAACGTGCACGGGGCACCGGATTCGCCAGCGCTTAAGTTGCTACCGTTTTCTCTTCTTTACTGAAAGGCTGCACCGAACCAGGCTTTACCCATGACAGGCCAGCAACGTGAACACTTTTATTGTGCTGTTCTTCCGGCTTCTTCTAGGCATAATCAAGAACAGACATTAAAAATACGCCTGAGGAGTTTGTACCGTGCCAAAATCTCCATTTCCCAAAACGTTATTTGTATTTAGGATAAGTAGTCTCCAATGAAGACCTTCAGAGAGGAAACAATTCACTATTTCTTTTTTTTTTTAATTTTTTTTTTCAACGTTTATTTATTTTTGGGACACAGAGAGACAGAGCATGAACGGGGGAGGGTCAGAGAGAGAGGGAGACACAGAATCGGAAACAGGCTCCAGGCTCTGAGCCATCAGCCCAGAGCCCGACGCGGGGCTCAAACTCACGGACCGCGAGATCGTGACCTGGCTGAAGTCGGACGCTTAACCGACTGCGCCACCCAGGCGCCCCTACAATTCACTATTTCAAAAATGGTTATGTACTTACTTTCTGAGTCAGCATCTTCTCTCTGGCCTCATCATGTACAGAAGGATTCCACGGAGAAAAGCTTAAGGAAGAGAAAAATATTAAACCGCTCATATTTACTAAATATGTATAACATCCATTTTTTTAATACTGAAGCCAGTCCCCTTAACAAAACTTAAGGAACGATAACCCGTGTCGAACATGTAAGTTTTAGATGTTCATCCAAATGCTTCTCTCACAGGATGACTATCCCTTATAGAGCCCTGTACATGGGTTAGCTCATCTGTCTCTCAGCCACCTCTGAAGTACTGCTGTTTACAGGTGAAGAAAGCGCAGGAGTAAAACCAAGTAATTGCCCTGGGTCACCCAAGCCAGTAAGCACAAATACCGAGCACGCGGTCTGCAGAACACAAGCCCTTAACCACTGTGCCACGCGACCTTCCCAGCAATATCTGTTGCCAAAGAGCGAAATCACGAACTCCTCAGTTCTCAATACTTCAGACGCTTCCAAGATTAAATATCATAGTGCTGAAGGAACACATGATTTACACTATTCAGTTTCCCTCCTTTCCCCAAACCTGAATGTCAGTGGGGATACGGCAGCTGGGCTCCATTACAAACATCCTTAGGAAATCAAAGGCACTAAATAGCTTGCTATTGGCACGATATGCCAGTCGATATAAAGCTTTCTATTTAAGGGAAAGCCCAAGAGGTATCAGAAATCGAGTTGCCAACAAATTATAAAGGTTGTAGGCTAACAGATTATACACTTTCCCTTCAAATCCTCATTCTACAACCACTGGAAAATGGAAGTACAAGATGGCAAAGTGCAGTTTATCTAGATCACGTACCACTTACCTGATTGCATAGGGGTCTTCTATTTTAGGTTGGTCGAACAGACGAGCAGTGCACATCTTAACACTGTCAACCACTTTACTTTTGAAAAGCTGAACATCTTTTTCATACCTGTGTTAAAAGTTTCAATCAGAAAGTTACCAACATAGTCTACTTAGCTGTTTTTTCAAATTTATCTGAAATAACAAAGCAGAGTAACATACAGGACTGCAGCCTCTGGGTTTAGGGGGCTTGCTGTATCAATCTTGTAGAAAACTCTTCGTGCATACATTAAAACTTGCCAAATATGATTATGGTTCCGCCTGAAGAGAGACATGTATGATTACTGAAGCACCTTCTTGCTGACCTAGATCACCAAAGCAAACACTTCTTTACTAACCTCCATTTGGCAAATGCTCTCTTCACATCCAATTCACCTGAGGTGGGATCGACGAGTGGGTGAAAGACGGGAATATCAAACACCAAGTGCTGTATTTAAAGAGAGACGTGTCCTTTAATGGAAGCAAGGAGCTTATTAGACCCATACAGACAGCTGTAAAGGGAACTTCAGGCAAGGCAGTCCTGCTGTTTTAAGTCAGAGAGCTGCCTCAAGAGGCGTACCTAACAACCTCCACCATTTTCCTATAAAACTCTATTTTGCAAGCAAGGGGGTAAAAAGTCACTGTGCTACAGCACAATGGTCACCATGCACACAGTCGGTGCTGTAGCACAGCTCCCAGCCTCCTTTGCACACCCTGAGCAGAGAAACAAGGAAAGCTCATGGCAGGGGCTGGCACGGCAAAAGATAACAACAAAGCACAAAAATTCCCTTGAAAGTTGACGGAGTAGACGAAACATTTTAGGAAACTGAAATCATAAAATCACGAGCTCAGGAAAAGAACCAAGAAATCTTGCAAGTCCTTAAAGCCCCATCTCAGACCCAACAAATGAAGCCAGACTTGATTTCTTACTTACTGGACAGTCACCATCTGGGTAGTTATCAGGGATGTAAACTGTAAACTTAAATACACCATCCTGATAAAGTCCATGCCGTATGAATATTACTCCAAACCACACTGTAGGAAAAGATAAAAAACAGTTGAGGCCTAAGTTTCTGTCAGAGGAACCAAAAACGCTACATATTAAGAGTGAATCCTTCTTACTTAATGCAGAGCGGTAAGATGGCTGCACGTAGACCCCCGGGAGCTTCTGCTTCACAACCAAGGTACTAAGACAGAAGCAGAACAATGAGATTGTACGGAAGGAAACGACACACACATATCAAACAACCCTACATTCACTTTTCGAGAGAAGGAATAGTCCCTCGAGGGGCAGCTGACACCTGACACACAAGCCACGTCACCACGATCTCACGTGGCCCACACTGTGGCCCATTCCCCAGCTTTATAACTCGAGCTCACAGAGAAACAAGGAGTCAGAGAGGGCCCCGGACTAAGAACATCAAGCCAAACAAGGTTACACAAAGATTCAAGTTTTCCTCCCAGAAGTCAACGTTCCCAAAACATCATCTTGGAAACCAGCTGGTAGGTAATTCTGAACGAGACAACCTGGTTTCAGTTCTGGACATTAAATTTTCGGTA